TTGCCTGTTTATCTTGAGTTAACCCTTTGCCTGCTGTTTCGGACTGTGTTTGCACCTCGCCTGGACTCTAGCTCGTGTTATTGGATAACCCCTCATGTCAAGCCCTCTGGATATTGTTAGCCGCTTATCGACCACACCCGTTTTGGATTACTCTTCTGTCTTGCCCTCAATATATATATATATATATATATATATATATATATAACTGCAATAATGCAGGACCATTTTTAATATTAGCTTTAAATTGGCCTCTTTGAAAACAGACACAATTGATTTTCATATTTTTCTCTAATCAGTGACAAACTCCACCATAAAACTAGTGCATGCGAGGTTTTCTAACAACCTTTCCCTTTCCTAAATATGCTGAGCTAAATAGAAGCGAAAACCCTATATTTGCGTGCACACAGAATGAAACACATTTGCACTCATTCCCACTGTCAGAAAAAACAGAAGTTGGTCACGGTGTTGTTGAGGCGTTAGGACCATGTGATATATGTGGATGGATGGAGAGATTGGAGATGAGGAGAGAAGGACAGGCGTTCTCTCTCTTGTCCTTAAATTAAACCCAACAGGAAGACTGAAAAGAGGCCTGCAGCAGCCGTCAGCCCTTTTCGCTTCCCTTTTCTGCATGATGGGAGAGGCAGCGCTGGGCTCTACACTGCAGGCGCCGCCTCAAATCTGCTCTGACTCATCACAGATGGACATCTGACCATCTCCTCTCCTCCAAAAATTAATTGTTCCTCTACTATAAGTGTTATAACTTGCACCAGCATACACATGGATACAGAAGATGTTGACTAGATATATGAATTCACATCTACATTTATGCATTAATAAAGTATTTTTATCAAAAGTGATTAACAGTACATTCAATCTATAAATTTTTTTAGTACATGCATTGTCTGGTGATTAATTCAGTGACCCTGACATTGCTAGTTAAATCTACCTGTTTCTGTCAATTTAAAGATAGGCTAATGGTAACTACTGGCAGAAGGGTTTCCAGCTGTGTACCGTAATCCTCCAGTTTCATTGCTGTGTTCTAAATTATATATTTTTAGAACAGTAGAACTGGAATATTTAAAGAAATCATTAACTTTAATACCAATATTTGTACTTGTACAAATACACGGCATTGTAATAATTTTATCTATACAAAAGTGGCAGCAAATATACAGAGGATTTTCAAAGAAAAAAAGACCAAGAGGGTACTTATAGCATAACAACTGAAACAAGTACAAGTCCAATACAAGACTCAGTCTTTGTGTGTGCATGTAAGAGAGAGATTACAAACACACACACACACACTATAAATATGTATAAATTGGTGGGACACTTTTCACCATTGCGGTGACTGAGAGCTATTGAGATTTAATAATCCTGGATTAACCCAGATAGATAGATATTCAGCAAGTATATATAACATACAATACGTGTGTGTGTGTGTGTGTGTGTGTGTGTGTAAATAAATACAAATAAAATAAAACAATACAAACAGAATGTATGCTATTACCCGAATGAACAACATAAGAATTTAGTTATTTATTTTAGAATTTCTGTGGATATTAATTACTTTTTGCATTTATGTTTACTAAAACGGAATAATATTTAATTATCAAAGGCAGTGTAACCATATAACTATTTTGAAGCATCAGTACAAGCTTCCAGTTTCGGATTTGCACAAATTAATAAATGCCAGTATGCATGTGGTGATATTCCTGAAGTGCAGTTATTAGATTGCATACGCTATCACTACTGCTCATCACTCTACACTAGCTCACATAAGAGGTCTTCCTCATTTCAGTGGAAGTTTTAAGGATTTCGAAAGACATCAGTGAAATCCTGTTTTCTCCAGAACACATAGTACAAGCAGGTCTCCTTTTAATGATGTCAGATCCGTATGTGTGCGACTGATAAAACATCTCAGAAACGTGCTGTCCTTCCTCTCTACAGATGGACAGTGCTATACAAAGTACATGAAAGGGGGGCGAAAGAGGAAACTTACCAGAAGAAGGGAAGAGAGGGGTGAGACTGCCGGGAAGCTGAGTATTTTATTTTATGCGCGCGTGTGTGTGTGTGTGTCTGTGTGCATGTGGTGGGATGACAAGGTGACAGAGACCACAGGCCCTCAGCGGTAGATGGCATCTGCATAGTCTGGTTACCTCAACAGATATACAAAAACACATGTACCGCTGACTTCATTTAAGCGTCTGTGAAGAGCTTTGTCCTGTACTAAGTATGCAAGATAGCAAATACACACTCATATACACTGTCTGTCATGTGCAACAGTGCACAACACACATGTGACAGAGGCACAACAGTATTAAAGCGGCATGAATCACAGGGCCGCTCAAGTGTCAGTGATGCACATGTGATTTCTGAAGAACACACCAGTCACATCATTCTTCTATCCTAACTGTTTTTGCTTTGTTTACCAAGATCATACATACATACTGTATCACATACACTGAACTGGCTGGAGCTGAATAATGAACTATTGTCTTGCTACAGCTGCTTTATATCAGAATTTGGATTTGCCTCATTTTCGAAGTTTGCATCATTGATTCTGTTACTTTCTTGTTTAATACTGTGGCGCAGCTTTGAAACAATCTCTATTGTATAAGTGCTGTAAAAATAAAGGTGACTTCACTTAACATATCTGACAAATATGTGATCATTTAACACATCTGCACTCTTCAGGAAATTACAAAAACATTTTGTCCGTTAATAGGGAAATTCCCACAGCTTTCACCAGTGCTGATGATGTAGAAAAGCCACCTTCATCCACACCCAATGGTACACAAGGTCAAAGCACTGCCCACTTCTCATCCACTTACTGAAAAACCGTAATTACTCCAATTGCGCAATCTCCCAAATCCAACCACAATGCCGGATCCTACTAGAGTAGTATGTATTCTAGAAATGTGACAGATCCATCACTCTATTGTGACATCACTAGTGAGTTCTTGATTTTAAGCTACTTTCATGAGAAATCACTCTGCAGGACATGATGCAATGTGCACGTTCACCATATGAATATCCTGACCTGAGCAATATGTCCATTCACACTGCATAACGTGCAGAAATGAGCAAATTACTCAATGTACACAATGTCCAATCTAAATTTTCTGTGCAACATGTCATGTTTCTCAATGCCATATGCAGGTCATCACTCACAGGACTTAATATTACTGGAAAGCATAGAATGTAGCAAGCACATCTTGGCTTACATCTAAAGATTTCATTTGATTTCCAAAAACTGAGAAGATGTTTTTGACCTCTACAGTGCACGTTAACACACACAGAGCCAAACGTTGGTGTTGAAATAGTTAGATATATGAAGCAAAACTGACTCTCAGGTTCACATGCTCATGTAATCAAATCAATTATTTTGTACTGCTTTATTTAATATACAGTATAATAGACTGTACAAGGAAATAGGATAAAAGGACACATACCCATCCGTTCAAGAGTTTGGGGTCTGGTTTTTTTTTCTTTCTTTTTTTGGAGAGAAATTAATATGTTTATTCAGGATGGATACATTAAATTGATCAAAAGTGACAGTAACGGCATTTACAATGTTAGAAAAAAATACTATTCCAAATAAATGCTAGTCTTTTGAATTTTCTGTTCATCAAAGAATCCTGGAAAAACTAAATGTGCCATGGTTTCCAAAAAATATTTAGCAGCACAGCTATTTTTTGAGCACTGAAGACTGGAGTAATGGCTGCTGAAAATGCAGCTTTGCCATTACAGGAATAAATTACATTTAAAAACAATATTCAAATAGAACACAGCTGTATTAAATTGTAATAATACCTCAGTCAGAATATTACTGTAACGGATGAACTCAGGGAGACAGGTGGTGAACTCAAGTGCAGGTTTATTCAACACAAATGGTGATAATAACAGAAGAACGGTGAGTACTGATGCAGCAATGATAAATGAACAGTGATGGCATGTGCGTGGAATAACTGGCAGTCTATGGTTGCAGGTAGCATGGAGAGAACACAAAGAATACTCATGCAACGAAGAGAACAATGAGGGAGAATCAGCTACGTCCAATCTGGTAACAGGTAAGTAGAGAGTCTAATAAATGACTGCCTATGAAAGCAAGCCCAGACAATGAGTGTGAGTGTGAATGCAGGTTAAATAGTGTCCTTTATGAGTGACAGGTGAAGATGATTAGTCTGTGACGGACTGAAGGCAGTGAAGGTGAGGGTTAACAGGGTGAATCTGTGACAATTACAGTTTTTACTGTATTTTTGTGCAACCTATAGTGTAAATCACTCTTGTGACTGACAGGATTAGATGAAAATACAATTAGATGCAATGCTTAACAGTGCCATTCCTTCAGGAGCTTAAAATCTTACCTGTAGTTAATTCAGTCAGTTCTGGAGAGGAAAAACAAAGGGTAAGTTTACACTTTACTCATTGAGCAGA